ATTATATAGCATGCATCCTTTTTTCGTATTAGTATAGTAGATATATCGATTCCATTCACACCATGAACGGTTGTTCACACTCTTCTTCACTGGTGTCATACCCATGGTTCAAAAAGGCACGCTTAATATTACGCTTAGACACGCCTAGGCGCAAGGCAATGACAAAACGCCTCGCCTAGGGATTTCGCGCCTAATTAGATACTGGAACACGTTAATGGAGTACGGCGACATATAAGTCTCTCCTAAACATTACTAGATGGATCTAAGAAGCCAATATTAAATACCAAAATTAACATCAACATTGAAATCAAGTTTCTATTGCAATATTTTCAATAGCTCAAGAACTTTGTGAACTATTGAGCTATGATTCTATGAACTCGTAAGCTATATTCTTGTCATTAAGTGTTGAGTAAGTTATTAATCATTTTAACTGGAGTGAGGAAGTGTTGTAGATTATTACTTCATTCATCATGCACTGCGAATAGCTATTTCCTTCCAACGCCTAGGCACGCTTAGTCAACGCCTAGGCGAGCTAGGCGCAAAGCAAAGGCTCAACGTCCGCCTTACGCCTAGCTCCTTTTTGAACCTTGGTCATACCTCACGTAGCAATCTGCAAGCGAAAGCCAGCCTCTGTGCATACCTCGGCACTCGTGGACGACCACCTGGTATTCGGCATAATCGAGACATTGCTTGCAATCCTCCATAGGCAGAGTAGAAGTACAATTAGCGACGGCGTAGAAGGAAGAACCGGTCGCGCAAAGGCAGGTGTTAGGGCTGCCGTCGACGACCGAACTAATTGCGGAATCCATGGACGGCCATGCTTTTGTTTGCACCTCGTAAGGGTTGTCAGCTGCCTTGCCGCAGCCGCTGCCGATCTTGTCTTTGCTGTAAGTGCCCTCTACGAGGACGACGACGACGGAAATGCCGTCGCTAAAGATGAGCGCTGAAATAAGGACGACGGATAGTGAAGTCGTCGTGAGGATGATGTTGATCTTCATGGTGATTAATTAATTGATGATGAATTGAGTTGAGGATGATCGGGTTCTTGAAGTTATGTATTTTATATTTATATACGATTATTATAGCACATAGAATACTGATCTCTGTCGTTTTTATATCGGGTTGTTTTTTTTTTTCTAGTTGTGTTTAGTGTTCGAAAATATCGGTTAATTTGTCTCTAATAGTTAGTTTTACGTAGTTGGACATCTGGTGAAAAGGACGGGTGAGAACGATATAATAAGAGGATTTTATTTTTTGGCAAAATAACAGGGTTAACAAATAAAATTCGTGAATTAAATTCTCGCGATATTCGAGTTTGGGCAAAAATGTGATTAGTTTGAATGTTTTTACGTAGAAACACTCTAGCTATATACAAGGATAAGCGTTTCGCTGAAGGCGCTATTATTCGAATTAATTTACATAAAACTTCGCTCAAACAAGCACTCTTATTAAGTTGTAATGTTTCAAGGCAACGTCGTTTACGTAAAATGCCATCACATTGATCAATATTTCCCGTTAAAAAGCTTATTTTTCCAAAGCATTGTTACCGAACCATATGAACCATGTACCCTAAACCCAAAATCCTAGCCTCCTAAATCCTGAATCATAAACTCTAAACTCAACTATAGGGGTCGTTTGGAGAACAAGATTCAGAACGTGGATTCATTGAATCCGTAGATTTTGTAAAAAGTTATGTTTTTTTGTTGCTTTTTGTATTGTTGATTCTAGCTTTAGAGATTTCAAATCTCTAAAATCTGTGGATATCAAATCTCTCATAATCAGAGAGATTTTACATCCTGATTCGTGAGATTTTTTTCTCCTAGGTTTTCTCTTATTTTTATTTATTTATCACATGAAATATATTTATCAGCAAAAATTTTAATATTTCTTGAACCACTCTAATTTTTTATTACAGATAAAAAATTTATTTAATATAAAATTAGATTTTTTATTTTAATTGAATGTTAACAATCACAGTCACCAAATAATAAACATATTAAAATCTATTTTCAACAATCTGGAGAGTTATAATCTTTAGATTGTTGACAATCTGTAGATTTAAACTCATATTTTCCAAACGATCCCTTAAGATCAACGGCAATAAAATTAGGGGTGGATATACGGTCTGGTCCGGTTAAATTTGCCCAAATTGATCCGGTCCAGTCCGGTATTTTTTGAAAATATAAGGACCCAAGATTGGATTGGATACAGTCCAGTCTTGACACGGTCCCGTCCCAGTTCGGTCATGATTTTATATTGAGCTTGTGGGGGTTTGAGTGGCCTAAGGCCTGAAAGGGTGAGGAGTTGGTTAAGTTTTGTACTAAGTGCAAAGGTTTGTGACCGTTTATGCAAATTACTCTTAAGTTTTGGTTGTTGAGCTCTCTTATCCGGTCTTTGTCCAGTTTTCGATCCGGTCCCGAACGGTTTTTTACCTCAAATCTAAGCCCAAAGATTGGATTGGATTGTTTACTATCCGATCCCGGTCCGGTCTCCGTCCGAGTTATACGATCCGGTTTCGGGTAAAACCAAAAAACCCAAACCAAATAGCCAACCCTAAATAAAATGTCATAGTCCATCTAAGAATATCAGAGGAATGCGAAGGATTTTTGCGCTCTGTCCCATTCGAATCTCCAATGGCTCTGAATAGAGACGTTGTTCTCCCAGGGAAGAAGAAGCAGAGTCCTCACGACATCGTTTCACCATCAGTTGGAGTCGGGAATCAGAGCGACATCGTTTCATCATCGTCTGGAAAACAGAAGCAATGCGACGCCGTTCCAATGCCAGTTCAAGTGAAGACACAACGCACGTGGAGTGACGTCGTTTCTGGCAAAATGCCACTTAGTCCTCAAACTTGTTAAACCCACTCTTTTCCTTTTTCGGCTGTACTTGCTTTACTCCCAAGCCTTGTCTTCTTACCTTGTTTTGTAAGGTTTCTGTACTTGTTCACCCATCTATATAAGCTGTGAAATGCAATGAGAAAAGTAGGACTTTAGGGTTTGCTTGATCCATAACGTTGTTATGGTATCAGAGCCTGGTTCCTAGAGAACCCTAGCCGCCTCAAAACATGGCAGACAACGTTCAAGCAGCTGCAGCCGAGAATGTTCAAGCCAATGTCGATCCTATGTCAGATTCTTACTACCTACATGGATCTGAGCAACCAAGGTTGCTGTTGGTGGGAGAGAAACTTACCACTGCCAATTACAACGACTGGAGCCAGGCCATGTTGACTGCTTTGGGAGCCAAGAACAAGCTTGGATTCATCAATGGCACCATTCCTCACCCAGGAGATGCACATCAGAATGCCTGGGCTTGGATCAGAAACAATGTTATGGTGCTGTCATGGATCCAACAAGCAGTTGATCCCATCATCAGGAAGACCATCATGTCTTGCAAAACTTCCCTTGAAGCCTGGAGAAGCCTCAGATCTAGGTATGGTCAAGGAGATGTGGTAAGAATTGCTGAACTCACTGAAGCTTTAAGCCGTTTGAAGCAAGGTAGTCAGTCTGTTACAGAGTACTATGGAAACCTAATTGCTATCAGAGATGAATTAGACAATTATCAACCACTGCAACACTGTACCTGCACACCCAACAGCCGAGAAACATGTGTGGCCATGAGGGTTGTGTTTTCTTACAAGGAAACTAACTATGTTATCCAGTTTCTAAGAGGTCTTAATGAGAATTTTTCAAGTGTGAGGTCCCAAGTCCTGTTTGGTGATGAGTTACCACCCATTGATAGAGTGTTTCAGAGGATGCTCCAGCATGAGAGACAGCAAGTTGGCACACAACAAAGTAAAGTTCTTGCTGTTGAGAGTATGGCTTTAGCAGCACAGAACAACAACAGTTCACATATCAGGAGGCCTCGACCTTACTGTACCTATTGCAAGTTTTTGGGACACACAGAAGAAACCTGCTATCACAAGCATGGTTGGCCACCTGGAATTAACAACAGGACATCAAACCCTGCTGGAAGGAACATGTAGTGCACCATCTGCAAGAAACAAGGGCACACTAAAGACAAGTGTTTCAGTAAGCATGGTTATCCAAACCAGAGAGGACCTCAAAGGGCCAGACCTCAAGCACATGCTGCTGCAAACACAAACTTAGAGGATTTAAATCAAGAGATCAAACTGACCAAGGCAGACTACATCAAGCTTATGTCCCTAATGAGTGACAAGGGGTCTCAGAAGGCTTCCCCCAGCAACAGTCCATCTTTTTCAGCTGCAAGTTTCATTACCACACCAGCTGGACCCTCAGGTAAAATTCTGCTCAATGTGAGCCATAAATCACCTCATGATCAGACTTGGAACCTTGACACTGGTGCCTCGGATCACATTGTGTGTTCCTTGGACCTCCTGACTGATCACAGAAGGATACACAATACCTTTATCACCTTGCCTACAGGAGATCAAATTCAGGCAACTCATATGGTGACAGTTACCTGTATTGCTGACTTGACTCTACAGGGAGTCTTGTTTGTTCCACAGTTCAGCTTCAATTTGGTCTCTGTTAGCAAACTAACCAGGAACAAATCCCTTTGCTTGACTTTTTCTCTGATGTCTGCTTGATACAGGATATGCAGCTGAGGAGGATGACTTGTTCTGCTAAGCTGTCCCATGGCCTTTACCACTTAGAGCAACCTGTAGATACCAATCAACCTAAACATTTCTCTGCTGCCACTTCTCAAGATTTTGATGTTTGGCACTTTAGATTAGGTCATGTTTCACATTCTAAAGTGCCACTTTTGAAAAACCTTTGTCCAGATATAGATACCAACAGTTCTATACCCTGTGATATTTGTCATTTTGCTAGGCAGAAGAGATTACCATTTCCCTTAAGCACTTCTGTTGCTCAATGTTGGGGCACAGCGGAAATATGGTGAGATGGATCAAAAATAGAGGAAATTCTTTTACTCTAATATCTCACACGACTAGGCAATTTTTGCCTTTTACATTAGAGTTGCTGCTCTTGATTGTTCTACTTCTACCCTCACAAACACTGCCCACATTTTCCCATAACGGATTAGGCAAGTTTGTTTCCTTAACCCTTGAGAGGAGCCTATGCTCTCTAGCTCACTCTGCCTTACATGCCTCAATGAGGCTTTCTATTTATATTGCCATGCCAAGGCTTTCCACCACCTATACACGTAGCAAATACATTGGTGGTAGGTTTAGTTTGTGGCTTGAGTTTATTTCTATTATTTTAGTTCCAATAATGTAGGTAGTTGGGTAGTTGAGCTTTTCTCCAATATTCTGCACATGGGACTCATATGGAGATGTCTAGAGCTTTGAGGAGAATTGTGGATTATGGACTTTTGACACCCCCTCTTAATCCGCAATTCGTAGTTGCTCCTTGAACTTCTTGAACTTTTCTCAAGTGACCGACTTTGTCATGATGTATGCTTGATTTCTTCACCTTAAGTGAATTTTGCTTTTTGATCATCTTCTTGTTTATGCTTGAACCAACAATCCCTTTGGGAGTGATTTGGATTCCTGCTCTTCATGCATTTGAACCTGCAAAATTTTGTTGCACGTCCCGTCTTTTGACATATAATGCAGTATGAGTTGTTACCGTCGGATTTTCCTCTACGGTCTTGAACCTGCTTGGTAGTTCATTCTCTGCTTCTGGCATTTTGCCAGAGTCTTGCTTCGTCATGACCTCCTCATAAGCTTCTTGGAAGAGATCCCGTAAGTCTTGAGCGATGAAGATTGTCTTCATTCCTTCACTCCGGTACTTGTAGAATTCACCTTCGAAGATCGGGATCTGACTGGGGATATTTACGAACATTGTGTTCGCCTGGACTGCTGCCATAATTTTTGGAATTTTTTTTTTTTTTTTTGGGATATATGAGGCTGGTTTGGAAGGATGGGAAAGTAGTATCAGCTCTGATACCAAATTTGTTGGGGCACAGCGGAAATATGGTGAGATGGATCGAAAATAGAGGAAATTCTTTTACTCTAATATCTCACACGACTAGGCAATTGTTGCCTTTTACATTAGAGCTGCTGCTCTTGATTGTTCTACTTCTACCCTCACAAACACTGCCCACATTTTCCCATAACGGATTAGGCAAGTTTGTTTCCTTAACCCTTGAGAGGAGCCTATGCTCTCTAGCTCACTCTGCCTTACATGCCTCAATGAGGCTTTCTATTTATATTGCCATGCCAAGGCTTTCCACCACCTATACACGTAGCAAATACATTGGTGGTAGGTTTAGTTTGTGGCTTGAGTTTATTTCTATTATTTTAGTTCCAATAATGTAGGTAGTTGGGTAGTTGAGCTTTTCTCCAATATTCTGCACATGGGACTCATATGGAGATGTCTAGAGCTTTGAGGAGAATTGTGGATTATGGACTTTTGACACTCAACAGTCTTTTGAACTGATTCATGTTGACATATGGGGTCCAAACCCTATACCCAGTTATGATGGATTCAAGTATTTTTTAACCATCGTTGATGATTTTACTCGAATGACTTGGTTGATTTTACTTCCAGCCAAATCTGATTCCAGACCAAAGCTTCAAGCTTTCTGTTCTTATGTTGAAAGACAGTTTCAAACAACTGTTAAGAAAATCAGAAGTGATCAAGGTAGAGAATTTGAAACGACTGAGTTTTTCAATAGAACTGGCATTCTTCATGAGTTGTCTTGTGTTGAGACACCTCAACAGAATAGCAGAGTAGAAAGAAAACACCAGCATATCCTAGTTGTTGCCAGGGCACTCAAATTTCAAGCTAACCTATTGATAGACCGTTAGTTACACATGTTTTTACCCCTGCTCTTACTCCATTTGAGGTATTGATTCTCGTGTTTTAGGCCGATTTCACGCTAGGTTGTGCTTGTTTATGATATTTCAGGTCCTAGTACGTGAATGGAGGCTTGGGAGCGAGTTTGAGGTCGATTGGACGAGGATCGGACGCATGGCGAGGTTCTGAGGAAGTCGCACGGGCACACCCACAACCCGCACGGCCGTGCAAGTGACCAGTTTGGCCGTGCGGGATTGTGCGAGAGCACGCACGGGCAGAGCAGAAAACCCGCACGGCCGTGCAAGTGACCAGTTTGGCCGTGCGGGATTGTGCGAGAGCACGCACGGGCACAAGTGAAATCCGCACGGCCGTGCAAAGTGTAATCCTGGCCGTGCGAGATGGCTGAAGTTCGACTTAATGGTACGCCGCGTTTTGAGCCGCCCGGCCAGAATGGTGATATGCACGGCCGTGCACCCTGGCCGTGCGAGTCGGGAAATTCTGGTTTTTAAGCGGATTCCGAGCCAAACAGACGAGGATTCGAGTTTTTGAGAGACAGAGCGGTTCCTAGAGAGAGAAAGCGACGAACAAGAGCCTCCAAGTGCCCTAGCTTGATCTTCAACACCATTGGAGTTTGGCTTGAGCTTGGAGAAGTGCCGATTCAACGTCCAGGAGCAGAAATCCATCTTCACAGTCTGATTTCCGCGTCTGATTCTGCTTTTGCTTCTTTCTCCATGGAGTAGTTCTCCCATTCATCTGGGTATGGGAAACCCTAGTTCTGTATGTTAGGTTTGATTGTATGAACCCAAGTATTGATTCTATGATATTGATTATATTCGATTGAGGTTTGAATGATTGAATGGCATGAATCCTGATCAAATTCCTGTTGTTTCTGCTTTAACCTAGAATGATAATATTTGCCTAGGTTGATAGAGTATCCTTAATCGAAGGTATTGAATGGGTGACTTTAGTCGAGGAGCCAATTCACTATTCTGTACCGAATTCAATTCGGTAGTGGAGGTTTTGTTCATAGGGCCTCAATCTGTTTACTCCGGTGGAGGTTAGTCGCCCGCTAGAGACTCAGATTGAGAGGGTCTGAAGACCTTTAGTCGAGACTTCAGACTGTTTGAGAACCTTCCGCAGTATAACTATCATAGAAATTGAACTTGGTAATTACAATCCGGCTTAACTGCAGACTAGGGGGAACCATATCCGGGTGACCTCTCTTAACCTGAATACAACCGTTTAGTTGTTTTGTTTGCTTGTTAGTTTAGAACTTCACTAAAGTTTCATTGCTAGATAATACGAATTCACTGAGTAGTCATCACATCTAGGACCCGGGTTGACAATAAAACCCAAACCCGCTATACTACGCTTTAGGAAGTGGTTACACTTGGCCATTTTCTAGAGTGACAATAACAGCGAGTCACCTATCCCCTTCTTTCTGGAGTGATTGTGTTAAGCATTCAGTTTTTCTCATCAACAGGGTTCCTACAATTGTTCTGGGGAACCAAACCCCTTTTCAAAAACTTTATAACAAACCACCAGACTTATCAGACCTTAAGGTCTTTGGTTGCTTGTGCTTTGCTAGCACCTTAGCTAATCATAGAGGCAAGTTTGACTCTAGAGCTAGAAAGGATGTGTTCCTTGGTTTTTAACCTGGGATGAAGGGTTATAAGATCTATGATCTTCTCACTCATGATATTTTTGTCTCTAGAGATGTCCAGTTCTATGAAAATGTCTTCCCCTTCAAAGACCAAGACCAGAACCAGAACCAGACCTCTCCCTATGCCAATCCAATCGATCCTACCATCTTTGATGATTTTAGCCCAACCTATCAACCTCCTTCCCATACTTCAAACAACCCAGAACCCTTTCTCAATGACCTTCACTTTGAATCAGGAGATGATGACTCCCCTCCTGATTCTCCCACACCATCTCCACCACCTTCCTCTCCCCCTCATCCACCTTCCCCTCCACCACCTTTCCCTACCAGAAAATCCAAAAGAACCAAAAGACCCCCTACTCACCTACAACAATACCATTGCAACCTGCTTCAGCAGCTTTCTTCCACCAATCATCCAAGTCAGCAGCAGACTCCAGGTATCACCTACCCCCTAGCTTCTGTCTTGGATTATTCTAATCTCTCACACAATCATCAAAATTTTGTGTTGAGCATTTCCTCTCACAAAGAACCACAGACTTACAGGAAGCATGTCAGTATCCTGAATGGAATGAGGCAATGGCAGTTGAAACTACTGCCCTTGAGGCCAACCAGACCTGGGATGTTGTTGAACTCCCTCCTGGTAAAAGACTAGTAGGCAACAAGTGGGTTTACAAAAATCTCTCTGATGGAAGTTTAGAAAGACAGAAAGCTATACTGGTTGCTAAGGGATACATTCAACATGAAGGGGTTGATTATCAAGATACATTTGCTCCAGTGGTTAAAATGACAACCATTCGACTTTTTCTAGCCATTGTTGCTGCTCAGGATTGGCATGTTCACCAATTAAATGTGAACAATGCCTTCCTTCGTGGTGATCTAGACCAGGAGGTCTACATGAAGCTCCCCCTGGTTACAATCCTCCACCTGGCTTCAAAAACCCTGTGTGCCGCCTAAAAAAGTCTATCTATGGCCTCAAACAGGCATCACGCCAATGGTTCACTAAGCTTGCTGACAAGCTGCAGTCTCAGGGCTATCTCCCTAGCAAGGTTGATCATTCACTTTTCTACAAATCCTCAGGTTCTTCCTATACCTGTATCTTAATTTATGTCGATGATTTGGTCATTGGAGGCAACAACTTGGAAGAAATTCAACAGATCAAGTCTTTCCTTCATCGGACATTCAGTATTAAAGACTTAGGAAAGCTCAAATTCTTTCAGGGAATTGAGGTTGCAAGAAGCAGCAAAGGCATTCACATTTCACAGAGAAAATGTACACTTGAAATCCTTGATGAAGTTGATCTCATTCATTCTAGACCTGCTACTACACCTATGGACTACAAGGTCCATCTATCTGCTGAACACAATGATCCCTATCATGATCCAGAAGAGTACAGGAAATTGGTTGGAAAATTAATCTATCTCACCACCACTCGCCCTGACATCAGCTATGCTACACAACAAGTCAGTCAATACATGGCTAATCCAAGCAATGATCACTTCAAGGCAGTTGTTTGAATCCTTCGTTACCTGAAGACTGCGCCTTCTAGTGGCCTGTTCTTCTCTGTTGGTTCTTCTCTTCATTTGAAAGCCTTCGGCGATTCTGACTGGGCTGCCTTTGTTGATACAAGGCGCTCTGTCACAGGATACTGTGTCTATCTTGGTGATTCTCTTGTCTCCTGGAAGAGCAAGAAGCAAGCCACCATCTCAAGGTCTTCTTGCGAGGCTGAATACCGCGCTCTGGCTTACACCACCTGTGAGCTCCAATGGCTGCTTTATTTGCTTCAAGATTTCCAGATTTCTCATCCACAGCCTGCAACCCTTTACTGTGACAACCAATCTGCAATCTACATCGCCGAATATCCCACTTTCCATGAGCGGACAAAGCACATCGAGCTCGATTGCCACTTTGTTCGCAAAAAGCTTCTCAATCGCACCATCAAAGTGCTTCATGTCTCTTCTACTCATCAATTGGCTGACCTCTTCACCAAAGCCCTTTCCCCAGCACCATTCTCCTTTCTGCTCTCCAAGCTCGGCATCCTCAATCTTTGCCCCCAACTTGCAGGGGGTATCAGGGGAATGCGAAGGATTTTCGCGCTCTGTCCCATTCGAATCTCCAACGGCTCTGAACAGAGACGTTGTTCTCACAGAGAAGAAGAAGCAGAGTCCCCACGACATCGTTTCACCATCAGTTGGAGCCGGGAATCAGAGCGACAGCGTTTCATCATCGTCTGAAAAACAGAAGCAATGTTACATCGTTCCAATGCCAGCTCAGGTGAAGACACAACGCACGTGGAGTGACGTCGTTTCTGGCAAAATGCCACTTAGTCCTCAAACTTGTTAAAACCACTCTTTTGCTTTTTCGGCTGTACTTACTTTACTCCCAAACCTTGTCTTCTTACCTTGTTTTGTAAGGTTTCTGTACTTGTTCACCAGCTATATAAGCTGTGAAATGCAATGAGAAAAGTAGGACTTTAGGGTTTGCTTGATCCATAACGTTGTTAAAGAATATTTTTCATGGAAGACACGGTAAAAAATTTGTTGTGTAAAACGAATTCTGTGAGATGTTCTTTTTGTATTCAAGCCGAAGGGCTACGGTCACCGGGTTCACTACCCTGTCGGATTCCTTCCTTCCGGCTACTTTCGTCAGGTATAGTTTCGTCGTGTAAGAAATAGAGTATCTGCGTGCATGCAGCGTTATTGCTGTCATTTCTTCTACCTTTCCAATTAGTTTCCCAGAGGCGATGTTAATTATATTAAGGCTTATAGTTCTTTAGGTTTTGGAGCCAGCTTGTCTCATATTGTTGTATAGTGCCGTATGTACGTAATGTAGTGCATTATTTTTCTTAACTTATTCGTCATTCGATGTCCAGGACATGTATGTTTAAGAATTGGCATGAAATTGTAAGATTTATATTTGAAGATTTTTCAATTATGCAAGTTATTGAGATTAATTG